GACCATTACATTATATGTAGGAAATAGAAGATAGTGAAATAGATGCCAAATACACAGTGCAACCCCAATAAGGAGGTTTGTATCACAGCCTTTTGATTCTCTTTCAGAGTCTGTTCTCTTGGGCTTTTAAAGTGTGTCTCTAATATCAATCGTTGAAATGAGAAAGACATTTGCCCACTCTGGTTATTGTTATAGGAGGCTAATACCAATAAAGTGATCCTTAAATATCTCCACAATGTCCTTTGAGATTGGAAAGAAACTTTAAAGATGAAAGCTGACTTAAGAATTCACCTGCCCTTGTGAAATGCTGCTATTCTGACATCTTGTGAAGTCATCTCAGTCTTCAGTCCACATACCCCACCTCTATGTTTATGGGGATGCCACTGTAAGAAGATGTGTAAAGACTTACCTATCACATCAGGTGGGTGTGTTTAATATAAGGCTTCCTCCATATGCTGGCATAGGCATGCTAGAGCTTGATTGTCAGTCACCAATGATTACCAATGGTAGGAAGTATCACAGAGATCATGTCCTTAGAACACTGCATTAGGAATGATGGCTCAGGGAGGAATAGATACAACTGTATAAATGAGGCTCTTAGTTGGGACTATGTCATTATTCCCAGGATAGTGGAAATATCTGCCCCCAAATACCATCCCACCCACCCCTACTGACCCATCCTCTGCCCTCATGGGAACATCATGTGAACACAGTGTAGGGTCAGAGGAATGAGGTTACTAGGGGTGCCCACCTCTGGGAATGTCATTCATAATTCAGAGCAATCCCTGAGATCTGTAACATTTCATGTCTTGCAACCCACACCCCCCGGGGCCAGACACATGGCCATCCTGAAAACAGTTGTGATTGATACATGTAAACCAAAGGATCCAAAGTATGGCAGGAGAAATGGATGGAGTCAAGACCCATGTCAGCAGCAAAAAACATGGAGTCAAAGCTCAGAAGCAGGTCTACAATGATCTAAGTACTAGATGAGCTGAAATGTGATCAGACTCAACCTCTTAAACCATGGGAGGGAAAGTTCTGTCCACATTGGAAGAAGGTTATCCACTGTTACTGAGGATATCGTCTTATGAGACTGGATGAGGAACCCTGGGTACTGGGCCTGCACTGTTCTGGGCTGAGGAAGGCACAACTCTCTGGTAGCTATTATCAGCTTGTCTGACAAGAGTAAACAAAACCAAAGGGTTATTATTTACACACACACACGCGCACACACACACACACACACACACACACACACACACACATACACACACCATTTCTGTTCATCTCTGACTCTTCCTCCTTATAGATTAGCATTCTTTGCTCAGGGAAAATTACATTACAGATCTAGCTCACCCAGACCTCTCTTGGCGAATCTACCATTGGAGCTGCTGATCCCCATTTCTTTCCTGTTCTTGTGGCGGTTGGGATGGGGCATCCTGTAGAAAATGGCCAATGGAGTTTGTTGCTAAGGTTCCAGGAACTCTCTTAATACATCAGAAGGTATTTCTGCATCTGAGGGCTTGTGTCCTTTCCCCAAGTCAGAGCAGCCTTACTACATTTAAATTTAAGCCGATCTTTCTGCTCTCTCCACTCACCAACAAGCACAAGGATTTGAGGAGGGAGGTGGAGAACTTGCTAGGCATGAATCTTCCTCACTCTGGAATCAGGCCTAGCCTTTCAGGAGAAGTTGTGAGGAGACATGGAGTCCTGGAGATACACCTGTCCAGGGAGAACCTGGAGGAGGCCAGTATTGGGTACTTGGGTTTTGAACAAGAGGGAGCTGTGTTTGGTTATTGTCTTAAAACAATCCAAACTACTGGGCTTGGAATCTGACACCCCTGAAAGCTAAGGGAAATTAAGGCCTCAGCAAAGTGGGAAAGAACCTAAGGAGCATCTTTTATGTATATTAGGAACTGAGTCCTCAGGTGTCCTCCTGCCTTGTGTACCAGGGAGCATCTCGCTCTAATATTTCTGAGTTGCCTGAAGCAGGTTTCCATATTTTAGACATTGGGTGTTGTCCAAAGACCGGCACACTAAAGTCTTTCTCCCTAGTGTAAAAGCTCTGAGAAAGATCATAGTGAGGGATCCTTAGGTCATTAAGAGCGTACCTTCAAAGAGACTATGGGACACTGTGGTCCCATAGTGTGGTCCATTGCTTGCTAGCTACAAAGTGAATAATTTTCTCTTCCACATGGTTCTACCATAATATCTTGTCATAATTCCCAGACAATAAGGCCAATCATTGTGGCCTTGAACTTTTAAAATCACCAAACAAATATTTCCTAAGCATATTGCCTTAGGCATTTTGTTGCGGTAGACGAATGGCTCACAGGCCTGGTACCCTAACTCCCTCTTTTCCTGTCTATTCCCTTCTGTTGGGCCCTAACATTCTCAAGTGCTGATGAACTTGTTCTTCTCTTCCTTTAACCTTGCCAAAGATTCTGAAACTGCAGGCTAAAGTCCAAATCCTTAACTGAAGTTTAAAAACCCCATGGGACTTGTGTATCTTGGCTCTAGCCCTCTAAAACTTTCTTCTGCTCTTTTTTCATGAAGAGTGTTCCAGGTTGTAGCCTGGAGCAAACTGCCTACAGTATGAACAGATGTTTTCTGAATAGCTCTGGATGCCTTAGGTACATAGTCCCAGCATCTAGACTAGGAGAAAACAATATTTGAATCTTCTTCCAATTTAAAAAAAAATGGTTCAGTGTTTTACACACACACACACACACACACACACACACACACACACACACACACTACATATGTGCCTAGTACCCTTGGAAGCCAGAATAGGATATCAGATCTCCTGTGAGTTATCTAGTTTATATCAACTTGACTCAAAATAGAGTCATTTGGTGAAAGAGACTCTCAATTGGAAAGTGTCTTTGTAAGATTTGCCTGTAGGCAAGTTCGTGTGTATTTTCTTAAATATTGATTTATGGTGGAGGGCACTGCCCATTGTAGGTGGGGTCACTCCTGAGCTGGTGGCCCCAGGTTTTATAAAACTGAACAAGGCATGATGGTCAAGCCAATAATCAGCACTCCTCCATGGCCTCTGAATCAGCTTCTGCCCCCAGGTTCCTGTCCTGTTTGAGTGCCTATCCTGGTTTCTTTAAGATAGTGTGACTTGAAAATTGTAAAGTGAAATAGATCCCTTTCATCCCCAAATTGTTTACGGATATGGTGTTTTGTCACAGCAATAAAAACCTTAACTAAAATACCCTGGAACTGGAGTTATAGATGAGTCACCACGTTACAGCTGGTAACTGAATCCTGGTCCTCTGTAAGAGCAACAAGTTCTCTTAACTGCTAAGGAATCACTCTATCTCTGTTTTGATGTCTTTTAGTTGATATCATATTACGTTCTGATTGTGTAAGATATTGATGGATTAATCCTGTCCAGCACATTTATTAACCAATTGTGTTGGGTGATTATTGAGTGTTTGATAGCATAAACATGATTGAAGTTTTTGGAATAAAGTGATATATTCATGTCCTTTCATCAGAAAAAATTATTGTTTCTCAGACTCAGAGAGTGTGCCCCAAGGTCTGAAATTCAAGTCATAGAGTTTGAGAATGGCAAGACTGTGACACTTGCTGCTCCTGTCTCTATCTCAGTGTGGTTTAAAGAAAACTCTTCTGTAGAGACAAAAGAAGCAGCATCTAACAGAGCCCTCAAATATCAGTCCCTGTGAACAGGATCCTTATGTTATCTGGGAAGGATGCTCACAAGCTCTGGGATACTTTTCTCCTCCAGTTTCTCATTCTGGGGAGAGACAGAAAGAACACACACCACCACCACCACCACCACCACCACCGCCACCACCACCGCCACCACCACTAATTTCTACAAACCACCACGTGGGCTCAATTCTAGGAGATAATTTTCAGTGTCATGACCCAACTTTTTGGCTCCTTTGTATACCAAGATGAGCTTGTGGACCCTGGAGAACATGGCTGCAACTTCTGCTATTCACAAACCTCAGGAAAGATGGGTGATGAGAGCTGCCATCTGGGGACACATGGGTTCCCTAGAGCCTGGGATCCTTGGAAAATGATCTGGGACCTCCTCTGCTGCCTGGCACAGAGCTGTTTAAGAACAAGAACTCTCCCTTGTTAATTCAATGTTAGTTATCGAGTACTTGCCAATGTATGCTTCTTGATGGCAGTCTCCAACATCTCTCTACAACACTTCCAAGTGCCCTACTTTCCAGGGTATACACCAAGCCTCACTAGACTTAGGGATGAAGGCTAGGTTTTCATGAGTTTTAACAAAAATGAGAGATGAACACATTCACACCTAAAACAACCCAGTCAGTGACCAGGGTACCAGGAAGCATGCATTCAGTGCTCACAAGCTCAGCAATGTCAACAGTAAGTTGTTTTATTTACTCAACCTGGCACTGCCCCCTGCTTTACAAATCAGGAAACAGGCTATACATACCTCTGGGCTTAGAGACTGGGCCCCAACACCTAAGCTTAAGTGTCATTTCTATGCTTGATACTGGCACAGCCAAAGGAGCTGTGCATGGGGACCCACAGGGAGGACATGGGAAGCATGGTAAAGACAGACTCAGTCCTGTCCCCCACATGCCTACAGAACATTCCCATCCCACCCTTCCAACCTGGGTCAGTGCCAAAGCCTGCTTGTATTTTGCTACTGAGTGTAGACAAAACAGCTGGGAGGGTACAGTTGCTACTACACAGCTACGGGGAGTATCAGCTAAGTTCCTGTAGCCTCTAAATCACAGGTGGCCAGGAGCAAGTCAGATGAGCCGTGTGCATCTGGAAAAGGCCTAGAATAGTAGAGAGGCCTTGTTCCCAGCTAAAGAGGAGAAAACTCGATCCCACTGCATGAAGCAGTGACTGTTGGGAGGAAGTGGAGGCAGCTGGTAGCAACTAGGCGCTCTCCAGCTCTGGGCAGTTCCTCTCATGTTGAAGCCAAGGTACGGATGTGGTTTCCAACTCTCTGGAGGCCCCAAAAGATATGTATCCTGGCCTCATGCAAGCTTGATTTAGAGATAAGCACTGGCCTGGAACCAAGAGAAGCTGGGTTGCCTAGCACAAGTCCCCAGCTCTCCCTTTGTCTTGATCTCTCTTCTTGCCTTCCCGGCCCCTCACTGCTCAGGTCCAGGAAGTACTGAGCATGTTCTTCTGGTGACCTTTGAGTTTGGGGCCCCCATCTTTGATGTACCTCAATGAAGGCAGAGGTAGCACTTCCTTCCTCTGTGGAAGAGGCCTTATGGCAGGTAAGCACCTGGCCTTCACATTCCACTGAAATTTGCCTGAACCTAACTTTGTTCCAACCACTTGGGGCTGGAAAGGGCACTGGACCCACACAGATCCACATCAGAAAGGCTTCTCTGTGCGTGCAGGGACCCTATGGCATTTTCCTCTCTCAATCCTGATGGCTGTCATGTGCACCATGTTTTTCTTATGGGGGTGGAGAAACAGACTTTACTTCTTCATAGACAAGATTTAGTGTAAGATCTCTATGTTTATCATTTAAAAGCAATCTTGGCATTAAGAACTACATTTGTCCCACAGTGGTGCACAGCAATCCTTAATATAAAATGGGTAGGGAGGATGAGAGAGACAGAGGGAGGAAAGAAGAGAGGGAGGAAAGAAGGGAGGGAGGAAAGAAGAGAGGGAGGGAATTTTCATCTAACTCTTATACTTGCTAACTGTGTGAGTTAGGGATGTGTGCAGATGCATGAAGAGTGAGACGGATCACAAAGTGCATCTAGAAATCTGATTGGTCATTTAGAGGTGCTACTTAAGGCCATGCACAGAATCCTCCTGACAAATAATAATTTTATTTTTGTTTTCCTTCTTCAGATATTGTAATGGCGTAATGATGCATCTTCATTTTCAGCCTGACTGGATCTAGAAGATGCAGAGGGAGATGCAGATTAAAAGAGAAAAAGGAGAAAGTCCCCCTCTCACCAGTGTTCCCTCTCACCAGTGTGTGTCGCCTCTCACCAGTGTGTGTCCCCTCTCACCAGTGTCCCCTCTCACAAGTGTCCCCTCTCATCATTGTCCTGCTTCACCAGTGATCTGTCCTACCAGTGTCCCACCTCATTAGTGTCCCCTCTCACCAATGTCTCCTCTTGGCTTCCTCTTGTCACTATGCAAGCTGCTTATTTCTGCCCTGTCCCTCTCTGTGAATTTGAACTCTTTGAAACCATGAGCCCCAAATAAACTTTTCTTCTTTTAAGTTGTCTGTCGAATGTTTGTTTACAGCAATGACAAAACAACACATGTCATGCTAGACACTATGATACATATTAACGGAAGCTACAATTTTAATCATTAAAATGCTCAAGTATTTCGATGTTCAAAGGCATTAAAGGTGCATAATATCAACTATGTAAATTTTTATAAAAAATTTGTGATTAAACACCTTATTATAATCACATTATACATGGCAATGTATTGTTTTTTAGTCTACCACCTCAATGTTCATAATAACCTTTCAATGTGGACAATATTTTTTTTCTGATTCTACAAAAAGGATATCACTACAAGAAAGAGATTTATTATAACGTATGAAAATTATAAGGGTACAAAAGGTGAAGCTGCACATTGTCCTTCAGGGAAAAGGAAATAAAGTGTACAAAATTTAAACTTAAAAGAGGAAGGGTCAGTACAAAAGTAATTCCTCACAGACATACTGAACCAAGCCCAAGACACTGATGGCACTGAAGCAGGTGAAAAAAATTCAGTGGTGTTATTACCAGTAAGACTTTTCCTCTTGGTCTTTGCTGGGTAACTTCTGATTCCTTAACTCTAGCATATTCAAGGTTTATTATTGCACTTTAAAGAAGAGCAAAACCATGCAGAGATCAAGCCTATGAGACATGGAAGATTAGGACTACCAAATATATCCCCTTGCCCATGGGGCTGGGCCCTACCATCCCATGCTAGCTGCCTGTCTCCCAGTCTTCAGTACTGCAAGGCTGAAAGAGACCTTGGGCAAGAGATTTCTGGATGCGACAGGCTGTTGCACAAGATGCTTGGTCAAGCCTTTGAGTGTTCTCTCTGGCTTGTGCTGGAGGATACAGGTATTGCAAAGGCGATACCCGCACAGATAAGGAGAGCTTTGCGTAGTTCCCCGTCCGGCTTGCACATATTCCCATTTGACTCAACACTCAGGCCATGAAACTACTCACTGGTAGGAGAAACCCCCAAACAGTGGCCATCCCCCCACCTTTCTTAGTTTCATGACCTCAGCTTGTATGATTGAATACAAGAGGACCCAGGCTTAGTCCCAAGTGGCTCAAACACCCAGACAGGGTACAGGAGGATGGGTTCTGAAGGCACAGAGAGCCAACACCAGTTTCATACTGAGATTTTTTTCTTTTTTTCTGATTTGGGGGAAAATCATTTCAGCTACACACTAGCTTCCATATCTGGAAAATCACAGCCTGGTAGTACTTACTTCAAAGGGCTACTGTGAAAAGGAAATAAAGTCACACACCTCAGCGGAAGAGTCCGAGGTGTGTGCTCTTTTTGTCTTCGATTATTTAATGCAGAGTCTGTGGGACAACATACTGCTACAAGCAAGGTGGCTGCCATGTTCTTAAGGGTCCTTTACTTGCCCTTTGTTGCTGACAAGAGGACACGGACAAATCCAGGCAGCAGTTCATGTCACTGCTCCTGCCTCATTTCCCCATTTGCAAAGATGGAGTTTTCCCATCCGTAAAGAGAGTTGGCTAGGAGTGTTCTGCAGTTCCTTCCTCTCAAATGGGCCAGCACACAGCCAATGTGCAGGAGAAGAAAGTGTGAAAACATGTCAACAGCAGCTTAAAGGGACCACAGTGTTGGGGTAGGGGGGGAGGTCTAACCAGCACACTCCAGTAGAGGGAGAGAGCCACCAGTAACCGGAAGTGACGATGATGCACTATGCAGAGTGGTGGCAGCCCCCATTGAGTTGTGCACACCTGCCACTACTCAGGAGCCCTCACAGGGGAAGGTGACATACCCACAGTGAATATTCAAAAGCCATGATGAACTTTGAGCCAAAGGTCACAGTGTGCCCCTCCCCCCACTTCACTGAGAAAATAGACTAAACAACAGTAGTCCGCCCTTAAGAGTGAATATTTTCAACATTGTCCCAGAGGGAGGCGATGAAAACTTTAGAAGACATTTGTAAATGTGACTGTTCTGCCTGGGTTTGCCAGGCAGGCACACAGTCTGCTAGGCTGTTTTGATCGGAAAAAACCCTGGTTCTGCACTGAAATTTGTTTGTGATTTACAAGCACACACTTAGCTTTTTCACTTGAGAAATAACTGATTTTAAAAATAATCTAGTTAGAGGAGACAGCTAAAGTAGAGCAATATGTAAATCACACACACATGTATATATACACAAACACACACATATGTATCTATACTGTGTTTTAAAAGGTACTACTGTGGTTAGTATAAAGATCTGCCTTTATGTATTTGCTTTTCCCTTGAGGCAGGAAATCACCTTAAATTTCTGTCTTAAAGCCTTTCTAATACTCTACTAAAATGTTTGAAAATATTTAGTTCCTGAAAATTAGATACTAGTGATTTTAGAAGATATTATCATCAGAGAACCATGAAACATGTCATGTTATAACTCATAGCCACGAGGGCCCCTTGGCTATGGTTATGTTTCTAAGATTGAAATTTGACTCTCAACAGCATGAGAGACTGGCTGCTGTCTTGTGATGTTTTTTATTCCCTTCAAGAAAGAAAGTAAATAATTTTCTTTTCTTCTCTTTTTTTCTGAAGTGTTGAGGGTTGAACCTATAGCCTTGTGTCTGCTAGGTAAATACTCAACCATTGAGCTACAGTCTTAGCCATTAGGAATCTACTTCTGATGAGACAATAAAGTCTTACAGATTTTCTGGTTTTGTTTGTCTATTTCAGTACTGGGGCCTCACACATGTTAGACAGGTACTCTACCACCGAGTCACAGCACCGGCCTCATTCCATCCACTGTTGCCAGGGAGCACACATTGATACCTATCTTTTAATAAGGAGAGCAGGTAGCCTCCAGTGTTAATTAAGTAGAATCTAGTGGACCAGCTCAGAGTCAAGGTGGAGAAAGATCAGTGACATCCTGAAAATGAATAGGCTTTCTTATGTCAGATGACCTCAGTTGAAGGATCCAGCGTGTAGGCTCAGTGCCATAATGAGTAAGCTAGAACACACCAGCTGACAGTGGTACCCTTTGGTCCCTGAATGTGGGACCATTTTTTTTCTATTATCTCTTAGCTAAAACTTGGCTTTCATGAGAAACTCCTGACAAACTTACAAAGGTCTTCAAGATATTATAATTCCCATCTCCGAAATAATTTAGTGGCATTTTTTCTCAGTTCCCCCTTTCGATTCCCTTCTCTCCCCAACTCTGACATATCTGATCTCCTGTTAACTCTCAATGGTTTCTTGTCTCTTTATGCTCTCTCCAAGATCCATCCATCACTGTGTCCCTCTGCCTAGAGGAAACATGGTGCATCTCTCTCTGGACCCTGGACCTCTCAAGTCTTTCCCTCCATCCTTTCCCTTTAATTTTGGCCTTAAAATCTCTCTCCATGTCAACAGGTTCTCAGTTAGGTCCCCTTCTAGCCCTCCCTCATCCTAAAGATGAGATCCAAAGTCTTTCAGGGCAGGCCCTAGAGACCCTGTCTTGTTAAGACTCTCCTGGTTTCTTTATCTAACATCCTCATATCTGCTCACTCCCAAACCCTCCTCTTCGCTTCCCCCCTGGCTCTTCCCTCTGCCTGGAATAGCTGTTCTTCATGTACAGGCCTTACACAAGTATCACTTCCTCAGAGAAGTGCCCTCTGACCGCACCCCACGGCTCCACTCCTCTCCAGTTGTCTGTCGTTATCAGAGGGAAAGCAAATAAATATATGCAGTCAGGTTTTCTCTTTGCTGCCATCCTGTACCTGACCACTCTCCTCTCCTTGAAAACTAAGAATCCCTGTGAAAGCCTGGTAAATCTTTCCAACAGTCAAAGGGAGGCCATCATGGAGTATGGTCTGACACTTGCATAGTTCTTTTTCTCTACCCCTCCCCTCTGAGCTACTAGATACAGATCTTACTGCTAGCTGGCTTTCTTCTCAGTTGTCTAGCTCTGCCTATCCATGGGTCTCCCTTCTCCTCACACAGCTGGCTTGCTGCATTACCTTTATGGGATATAAGTGTTCATTATATACTGAGATCCTTGAGCTTCTACTTGGGATTACTCCTGAGCTCTCAGTCCAGAAAGATATATCTAAGGCTGCAAATGCTTCCTTAATCTAATGTATGCTGGATCATCCTCAGCCCTTGACTGGGATCCCTTACTATCAATCCTTTCTCCATGAATATGGTTTTTGCTAGAGGGATTCTGTCAGTCCCCCATGATGAGTTATCCTCCCAAATCTCTGGGATAGAACTGGTGCTGACATGGATCCCAACAGTTCAGAGAGGCAAAAAACAGCAGCATGTTTCCAAGGCATACTCATATTCTTTTTAAGAGTCAAGCTATTCCAGACACTGAGATGGGAATGGAGCTATGACAGGAATTGCTGTGGGTATCTCTTGAGAGTAAGAGACTGGGAGGGTACAGAAAAGTGGAATCAGGATAATCCTGCTCTGAGTCCATAGACATCCGGCTAAGGACACTCTATACTTCTCTGTTAGATTACCATATCCCCATTTCTCTTGGGATGTTCTGGTACAACTGGGTTGGTTACACTGTTGGCCCGTTATTCCGTGTTTAAGTACCACCTTCCTGGCTCCTTCCTCAAGCTGACCCACGTTTCTTCTAACATTATTTCTCATCCTCTTTCACACACTGAACACTGCTGTGACCTCAGCCAGCTTCTGTGACAGGCCACAAAGATTCTGGTTGGCTAAGCTGTTCCACTGCCTGGAATAACCTCACTTTCCTCTCTCTCTGGCAGGCACACGTGAGTCACACATAGCTTCAAAACATGGCTTAAATGTCAATGTGGCTTTGAACTCACCTGCCCCTCTTCCTGACTCGCCCTCCCTCATCCCCAGCTCCCTTTGAACTCTTGTCCACAGGGTGAAATCTTAGGGCTGACAGTACCACCAAGTATATCTGCACATCAGTATGGTAATAAACAAAAGCATCTTGAGCTTTTGGGAAGCAGAGGTTGTCCCTGGCTCTGTTTGAGTCTGCATACAGTAGATGTTCAAAACCTACCATCCCGGTGGGAAGGCACAGTTTAA